TCTCTCTCTCTCTCTCTCTCTCTCTCTCTCTCTCTCTCTCTCTCTCTCTCTCTCTCTCTCTCTCTCTCTCTCTCTCTCTCTCTGTGTGTCTGTGCCCTCATCACCCCTGATGATAACTTCGATCCTATACGCTCATCAAGGATACCCCTCAGCGTGAAGGCAGAGATGATACATATATATATATTGTCACAGTGGAAATCGGAGCGCAAAGGTGGAAAAAGACAGAACAAGAAAAAGAAAAAGAAGTAAGGAAGGAAAGCCCCATCTGTTCGTCACCTCTTACGTACAAGGCCAGCCAGGTGGATGACAGGTTGAGCGCTGGCTGCCCCCATCCCCGTGTGTCATAAAGACCCACTTGCACGCAACCAAAAGGCAAAGAGGTAAAGAAAAGGCGGAGGAAACCAAACCTCACAGAAGAAGAAAGCCTATTAAACAGACGAAGCAAGTGACACATCCCACAGATAATCCAATTACCATCCCACAGAACTTTTTTTTTTTCTTTTTTTTTTTTTTCTTTTTTATATATGTATATCGTCAAACAGAGCTGCCCGGTAAACCGTAGGCAGAGAGGAAGAAGATGACATCAAACGAGGGGCTGTGACAAACTGTTTCGTCGGAGTTTCACCGACTCATCAGGAGGCTGAACCCTCAACAGTCTGCAGAATCCCCTACCTGATTACACTGTAAGTGATAATCCACCTTAACCCCGGTTGCGGTTAAGTATCAACGACTGCGCGACAACTGATACCCTCAGGTGGTGGGGACCATCAACCACTGCCCTCAAGGTACCTGTGACCAAAATCACCCACACCAGATGGATCATGTGAGTGGGAAAGGGAGAACAGAGACGGCACACCAGATGGATCATGTGAGTGGGAAAGGGAAAGCAGAGACGGCATACCAGATGGATCATGTGAGTGGGAAAGGGAGAGCAGAGACGGAGAGTTCAAGATGCGAACTTGTCAATGGGAATAGAAGGACACAGAGCGAGAGTTCAAGGTGTGAAGTGTCAGGGCAATGGGACGTGCGCCGGTTTCAGCATCCAATCAGCATGCTAATTTACCCCTTCAACGTCCCTGACTGCAATTTTCGCCGTTTTTTTAACCGAAATCGTCGGATCCTACTGGCGGAACCCGGTAAGCCCTGACGATTTTCATTTAAAATAAAAACTAAATTGCGCCCAGGAACGTCGAAGTTAAATGCTAAGGAGTATCATTCCCAATCGTCACGCAGAACTGGATTACCGTAGCAGAATCCAATCACGATTATTTTCATTAGCGTATCAGCATGCTCAATCCGCAGGGAAGGACACACCTACAAGCCTGAAGAGAAGCACACGCGCCAGACGGTAGACATCCAATGAGCACGCTAATTTGTCATGCCGAAACAGCGTGCGATTCTGTCAGTACCCAATCAGCATGCTGGTGCGCGCCAGGATCTGTGTGTGTGTGTGTGTTTGTGTGTGTGTGTGTGTGTGTGTGTTATGTGTGTGCTACGTCATTCAGACGTGTACATGGCGCAGGATCTGACGCCACCGATCTCCGAGGAATTCCTCGGCACAACACAGACAGTAGGGCGCTGAAGCTTCTCATGGGGGCAAACACGATGTGTCCATTAGAGTGATGCTATATCGCTTCCGCACAGTACCCAGTCAATTCCAGAAGGACAGGGGGCCCTTTCGTCGACAACAGATGGAGCGGGGAAGGAGACTCAGGAAAACACATGCATACGCTCAAAAAGATATCCATACACTCTGATTCATAAGAGGACGACCTCGTGGAATCGTGCAGTGACCGCCTATACAAGTACACGCGCGCACGAGCGCAAAATACGGGGGAGAGAGAGAGAGAGAGAGATCGCGGTTTGCTCGTGAGAAGATGGCAAGAACCTGGCCATTGTTCACTTTTCCCCAGACTCGACGGTTACTTTCCCCCCATTTCCGCCGACTTCCCCGCCTCCGCACATCACTGGGCTCACGCTCATTTCTTCCCACTCCCACTCCACTATCTTTCTCCCTCCTTCCCCCCCTTCTCCGTGCCCCAATCGTGACGCGCGTCATTCGGTTCACCCTCGTTTGCACGTCACAGCCAGGAACGAGGAATCCTTCTGATGCATGCCCGGAGTAAAAAGCACGTCCAGAAAGATCACCAATCTGAGGAAGAGATGCAATATGACACAGCGGAAGACTCAGACACATAGCACTGACTGACGATTTAGCAGAAATGATAATGTGACTCAAACCCAACCTTCCACCCAGCGGGAGGGGTCACAACATAGAAGAGACCTCCCGCTGCAATCATACATGGGCGAAGTGTCAGGTGGGAGATGGAAGAATGGAGGAAGACGACGACGAAGAAGAAGAAGAACAAGATGACCCAAATGAGTGGCAGCGGCACATAATACTGTAATAGTCTCTCCTCCACTTCGCTCTCCCTCCAACTGCCTGTAGGTCCCCGACAATGAATCTCAGATCTCGAGTCAGGGAGCGTGGCTCCCGAAGTACAAATGTCAACTCTCTCTCTCTCTCTCTCTCTCTCTCTCTCTCTCTCTCTCTCTCTCTCTCTCTCTCTCTCTCTCTCTCTC